TTGTATAATATTCTGAGTTTGTATTTGACTGTTTTTATTGATTGTGAGGAACACTGAATGTGTTTGTGTGCAGTGAGATGAGTAAACACATGTTGATATTTAGTCTAGAACTACAGTAAGATCATGTTCACACACAACGCTCTGCACTTACTCCTGATTTCTGTCACCATGGCAACACCAGAGCTGTCACTCAACACATGGAAACAAAGTAACTGCTGTTACTTATTTGAAAAAGTAACTCCGATATTTCCTTCTAAATTAAAAAGTAATGTGTTACTTTACTAGTTACTTAAAAAAAGTCATCTGATTACGTAAATCGCATTATCAGAATATTTAAAGCTGTTTTCAAGCAGCCGCTGATCCAGAGAGAGCAGCGCTCTTAGTGTAAGCTTTATGTTTGAAGCAGCTTCACAAACAGGCTACATTTCTGTGTTGTAAACATTAAGTAATAACAAAAGTATTGGGATAAAGGTTTATAGTCCTGATATAGACTCTGACGTTGTGGCAGTCGCGATCAAAACGAGTAACTGACCTTTGGAACTAATGTTACGCTTCAAATAAAGATTGCATATTATTTTGTTGTCTAATGTTTTGTTTTCAGATTCGTGGGAGAACCGTGATCTCAATTCTAAAAATCAATTATCCGGAGTCATACCTTAAAACATAGCTACATAATATATCTGCCATTTAACTAATACTATTAGTACGGTTTCTAATATTAAAATGTAGTTCTGCAGAAAACCCTTCTTTTGGTTCGTGGCGCGATCCATGCGTCCAGCCGCCGCTGCTGTTGAGCCGTGAGCCGTCAGAAGATGCAGACGTTTGTCTTTGTGTTTCAGGATCCCTAAAGGTGCCGGACCCGGCGGCTACATCACCGGCTCGCTGGTTCTGCCCAAGAGTGAGTTCGGCAAAAAAGCTGTGAGTCGCCAGTCTCTTCAAACACAGGGTTGATTCGGCTCATCTGTAGATCTGCATGCTGCTTTGTGTTTCTGTAGCTCAGTCTCTCTCACATGTAGGGGTGTGCAATATTGACAAAAAATTATTGATGAATCATTTTCTGGGATTTTGCTTATAATGATGAGCCGAGTGTGTTTTTATGCTGGTGCAGGTCTGTCATGTCAGCTGACTCTCAAAGCTTTTTATATTCAGTGGCAGAAATTAACTTTTTCAATAAGGCCACCTTAAATTGATTTCCAGTGGCATTTTTACCTTTATAAGGGCATTTTTAACCTTTAATTTAGATGTATATGTTAAATTCTTCCATTTATGCAATCAATTCAATTAGAATAAGACACTATAAGCTGTTACCAATCAAATAAATCATAATCAAGAAAAGCCATTTGTTTGCACTGTAGAAACTGCATCTGAAGCTGTTTTTAGGAACATTTACACTGTAATTACAATTGCATAAATTAGATTAATGTTCTAAAAATAAGATTTTGAATATTGAAAATGTTATTTTTAAATAAGATGATACTTTTAAATATGAAGTATGCAACTAGTCACTGTCTTAATGAGTGAGTCATTGAATCATTCACTCAACCAATTTGCACAAACGGCTGATTCCTTCATGAATGAAGCAAATGACTCTCTTAGTGAGTGAGTCTTTGAGTTATTAGGCTTGTTTGAGATGCGCCTCGCCTGAAATGTAGGCGAGAGTAGGCGGCTGCAGTGAGGGGAGGAGTGAAATAAGCGCAGTCAAGACGGACAGTTCTGACCTCTCGAAGTGGAACAGATACCAACGAGATCAAAGGCAGATATCGCGTTATTCACACTCATGTGCTGTGTTGCTAATAAACGTGATATAATTTCAGTTCTGTTGCTTTTATGAAAATAAATATGATGAACGAGACACTCAAAGTGCTTGTAATTCCATATGAAAGGTGTATTTATCATCCATTTTTACTTTAATACAAACATGTATTTTAGATTTTTATAGAAATATGACAACAATCACATATCTCACACAGAGATCGCACTGTTATAGTGTTTGGGAACATTCATGCAGAATTTAAATACATAATCACATGAAACCAGAGAATTTTTTTATAGAGAACGCCGTTGTCTGAACCAATGAGCATTAAGCTGTGTCGTCAGTCAGTCGTTTCCCATCATGCTTTTGATCAGCGCAGTCGGTGGAGAGCAACTACACAGCCGCCTCGCCGTCGCGAGAGTTTTTTGGCACACGTCAGCATGACATCAGAGCAAGTCGGACGTAACTCGGACACTTTTCTAACCGGCATGCATCTCGCGGTGATCACCGGTGATCGGTTCTGCGCAGATTTTGCTCATCTCAAACAAGCCCA